TATCTATGGTTGATTTAATTCGTTATAATTGGTTATATATTTGCAAACTTTGTAGCGTGTTTTGAACCCAAAGCAACAATAAATAGCAGTGGTAATTTAAAAATCTATAGCTGGTAATTGTGATGATAATGAGCTGAATTTCATAACCACGCATTGTAATGGTAATGCTGGCATGCTGAATACTAAGCAGGCGAGGCTGTGGCCTACCTTGATGATCTACTCGTGAGTTTAAAAAAAACATATAGTAGGCTATGTAAGTCACTGGAAGGAAAAATATATAATATATAAAAATATACATAAATATGTATATAAATAAAACTGAAGTAAATAAAGGTTTAGCTATATGCTTAATTTGTTTGCCTTAAATATTTAAAAAATAGCTGTAAACAGTCTTCTTTTGATACAACATAAGTACGCCTATTTACAAATCTGACCGTTTATAAACGAGATTCCCTGAATCCCACTTCGCTGACAGAATATTAATTGTTCCAGCTTCAGGGAGAAATATAACACTACACGTCCAAAACGCCTGCCTGGCACATCTCGCAGATCTATTCACTGTTTGCTCAAGGAAATGTGCTTCATCTGTATTCTTGCGGGCAACTTTCCAAACAGGTTTTCAGCAAAAAGTAATTTCTAGTCCCCCTTTTCTTTCCTTTTATCCAAGAGACAGAGGTAGAGAGAACCGTTGGCGATTTGTTGCGATTTCTCTCTTTTCACTTTATTTTTCAGTCGTCAGGCCGTGACGAGGCAGATGAGAGATGAGGAAGAAGAGAGAGAGAGAGAGAGAGAGAGAGAGACAGAGAGCCTAATGGACTTTATTTTCTGGATGGGGGAGCTCCAATATATTCTGCTTTATCTCTGTATTCTTTCCTCCCGGAAACAGTGAATCAATCAGACATTTAAGGAAGTGCTGGGTTTTAAAGTCAGCTCCTATAAAGAGTAAATAAATAAATCACAACAGGGCTGCATAATGACCCCTGGTCCCCTGGCTGTCTTTCCCTCTCTGATTCCGTTTCTCCGGGATGAAAATGAAGCTGCTGTCTATGCCAACACTTCCCCCTCTAGAGACAGTATAGGTTCAGCTTTTAAAGAAAGACCTTTAAAAGCCAAAAGCTGCTAATTTGGCAGAATCTTTGTATCTCATTTGCAACAAAACCTCAGGAGCATGCCAATGTTGATTGAATTTCTGGGAGCAAGTGGTTCATTTGGTTGGTCAGTGTGATGAATTACTGGACCTCTGTCCCTAAACTCACACAGCTGTGAGGTGACATCTGTCCTGATTCCTTGTGACCTATTAATACATATAATTTTAAGCATTTGTCCACAAAAAAGGGATAGATTCCTCTCCAAATACAAAGTAATTTCTGTCTATTTTCTTTTATAATGATAAAAAAAACTGCAAGATCAAAGTTGATCTGCCTCTAGCAGGTCATTTCCGAAGGCTAATACTATGCTTACATGGCGGAGTCTTTAAAATGCTACACATTTAGAGAATTATGCGACAGTATCCGATAAACAAATGCCTTTATAGAACGTGAAATGTATTGCGTTTTGTCCTATCAGTATTTATAGGCTCGCAAAATACATTTCTAACACATAATCCCCACAAACTACCTCAAGAATAGTGAGAGTCTGAACGTCTAATGCCAACAGTAAATACACAGATAAGTGAATAAATAGTTATCTGGAGGTTTTGTAGGTCACAAGTCATTCCTCTCCATCTCTTTACAAAGCAAGGCGTATTTCATGCCCTGGCCCAGATAGGAAGGGTGAAAGGAACCATTTCATTTACTCTTATCTGAGAAAGAGGGGGAGAGAGAGAGGGGGAGAGTCTTCTCTGCAGATACCTGTAGGGAGGAGGACGAAGCACATTGGGCTTCTATAAACGTCCTCGCAAAAACTGTGCTTTTATTCATCGAAGGGTTTCAGGACATAATAATAAAGAGAGGAGGGAATAATGCCTTTACACAGCTATACAAAACACAGAGAGTGAGAGAGTGTGTGTGAAGGACTTCAATGTGTCCATGTAGGTCAGCAGGCTTGGTCTAGCTTTAAGGAAAGGGAAAGTGTGTGTGAGTTTTCGCTCTGTACCCTATCCCAGTGGGACATTACATTCATCATTTTCAGAAAAATCAAAAGGGACACAACAAACATGTTCAACAATGGTGGGGTTAAGGTGGGCTAAGCTTTAGGCGCTGACCATGAATGACAACCAGTCCAAATGGGTACTTCTTATATATCAACTTTCAATTAAATACACGTCTAAAAAAATATTTTTCTAAAACAGGATAAAAGACATTGGGGTTTGGTGGGGTGCCTCCCAGTACATTAATTGAAATGAGGACCTAATGGTAGAGCATGTGTTCTGCTGTAGACATTGTAAAGAGCTTTGAGACAGATTTGAGGACTGGTTAACATAATAACTGTGACTTTGGGCCATTATTGTTTACACATTTGACTTGACTCTTCACCCTGACCTAACTGACCCAGAATTAGAGTAGTACCTGCTCACATTTTAAATTAAAAACACCAGCAGGTTCACTCACTAACTGGGAACCAACACATATGTGGGACAGTACCAGAACACCATTCTTACAGATATGTTTCTAATGTAATTTCAAACATCAGTGAATCAACATCAATTACTCTGTTAACCGGTCAACACAAACTATAAGGGCATAATGCCAGTGTCTCCCTTAAAGTAGTGTCTCTGATAAAGTGTTCAATCCCAAGATGGGATGATTGACAACATCATGAGATCCTTTTGTTCAGGACTTGACAAACTGAAACAATAAGCTGAGTAATATTCCTGCATGGTGAATACAATGATTTTAGTGAGCCAATTGAATGCCCCTGTGCCACCACAGCCATGCCAACACACAACTGAACAATTACACCCTACAATTACACATCTTTAAATGAATTAGATATTAAGTTTATTTGATAATAACTTTCATATGCTTTTACTACAACTCATGTGACTCTATTGTCTTAAGAGGTAATGCTGGTTATTGCATTTCATGCCAATTTAGCCTCGGGTTAGGCCAGCTTTCATTGACATTGCATAAATATGACTGTCTAGATATTGGTGTGTTTTGTAAAGAGCGATTGCTTTTCACATTGTGCTGTCCACAGCAGGCATCTGCATAATGAGGCTTCTTCTATCCTAAAAAAATAAAGTAGTAAGGAAGACAGTGGCCGCCCGCCTGAGCTGTTTGGAAATAGCTTTGTTTGAATTCACAGAATGAGACTGTAGCCTTCACATTTCTGTATTTATCCTCCATGTTTGGATCTATTTATATTTTAGATGGAAGAGACTGCATGTGTGTGTGTGTGTGTGTGTGTGTGTGTGTGTGTGTGTGTGTGTTTGTGTGTGTGTTTGTTTCTTTATTTTATGCTGTTGGAGGGGAGAAGAGGACAGAGGGACAGGTTCAGGGGACAGCTTTGTGGTTCAGGGGGTATTCCTGCTGGGGTAATGTGTTTAAAATCTATTACCCCCACAGCTAGGATTAGTGTGTGAGTGTGCGTGTGTGTGCGTGTGTGTGTGTGTGTGTGTGTGTGTGTGTGTGTGTGTGTGTGTGTGTGTGTGTGTGTGTGTGTGTGTGTGTGCGTGTGTGTGTTTCCCCTAAAGACGTAATCACTATGTTAATACAAAAGGCAGTGGATTATGGGGTAGAAAAAAATCTGGTTGATTTCTACTCTGCCTCCGGTAAGATATGTACATATACAGTATTGAGAAGCAGGAGAGAGAGTCTTGACTGTATTTTTATTTATATATGTGTTTAAAAATACAAACGTATGTAGCTCATACATTGGTTAGCACAGAGCTAGACAGGCTGCAGTTTGTGACCTGGCTGGCCTGAGCCTTTCAGTGGAGAGTTTGAGGTGTTGGTGTGTTTGTGCTTGCCTCAGACTGCCGACCCGTCCACACTGCTTCTTCTCCGGTGCATGCTGGGATAGGCTCCAGGAAAGAGAAAATGATTTGGTTACGTAATCGATAACTCGATTGACAGCAAATTCATTGTTAATATGTTTGATACTCAATGAATTGCCTTAGTCAAATGTAATGATTTTTTTTCTGGTTTCTGCTTGCATCTTTGGGACCTTACCTTGGGACTTTTTCAGTTACGTTCAGACTTATAAACTAGATGGATTCCAACTCCCTGGTTATAGTTTTCTCCAATTACCTGCTCTTTTGCTGCGGCAGCCATTTACATTTGTCAATTAAAACTGAATTTTGTCTGATGAATTAAAAGGAAACTCTTACCTTCTAAATGTAATAGTAACAGTAGCACAAACAGAATCATGTAAAGGGTTAAGTTTCTAGAGTATTATAGTGTAAAGCAGTCCTATTCTCTTTCATTTGTTTTCCTCATATACTTTAATCTCTCAGGGGAATATAAGTGGTATCCTTCAATGAGGGGCCTGCGCACGGCGTTGGTCAATAATTAATTGAAATCCCCTCATTTACTTAAGATCTTAGCTCACTCTGACCCGGGTGAAAATGGGCGAAGTTTGCATTTTGTAATTGTCACACTAGATCCAATTTGCTGAGCAAGAACAATCAGGCGCAGAAGAAAACTTTAAGTATTTGAGATAATAAATTCACTCCAGCACTTGTTGGATCCTCGACCAGAAAGTGTAGGACTGCTGAAGTTAATATATCACAACCAAACATCTTATACAATAATGGTAACATCAAAATTGAGGACATAACAATTGAGTAAATTAGGATGTTTTAATAAGTGTCTTTTGTGGATCACTAGTTTGTATCCATTGCATATAGCTAAAACATCAGTTGGTTAGATCTCTAAGCTCCTTGTCTCCTCATTGCCTCATCAACCTTCATTTGGTCACTCACATTTAAATGACTTTATCTTTGTCTCAATTCAGTGCCTGGACCCTCAGTATAATGTATAGGCAGCCATAATATTTCCTCATCATAGACCTTTTTTGTATTAATTTTAAACTGTATCTTTTGTCTTTCTCATGTCTAGGACATGGCGGGGTGAACCAGCTTGGAGGCGTGTTTGTGAACGGCAGGCCCCTCCCAGATGTAGTTCGGCAGCGAATCGTGGAACTTGCCCACCAAGGGGTCCGGCCCTGTGACATCTCACGCCAGCTACGAGTGAGCCACGGATGTGTCAGCAAGATACTGGGCAGGTAAAGGACACACAATCACCCACAGCCGTATGATGGCTAAGCATTCACACCCTTTTCACCAGTCAACAATGTGACAGAGTGGTTGTGTGACCTGGCACGGCCTTGGCGGTTGACTAAGGGGATCCTGATTTGACGCCATCTTGTAACCAAAATGAAAATATTTAAATGTCTATGTATGAAACATTACAGCTAGAAGTATCTGGTTCAATTTGAGGTCATCCTGCTGAGTTTTATGAATCAATACACAGGCTTTACGTTCGGCTTTGGCTTAGCATGTGTCAAACTGAAGCTCCTGTAAGGTCACACCGACTCATTTAGTGTCCATTCTGCCATTTCTTGCACAAGCTGCATTTAAAGTGTCGTTGTTTTAAAGCTTGCGTCTTTTGTGCCTTTTAACCTTCCTCTCCCCTCTCGGTATCCTATATTTCTAATACGACCCCTCTCAATATGTCTGTGTCTCTGGTCTCTGCTCACCCCCTGTTCTCTTCATCTCTGCCTTTTCAAGGCTAAATTCAAGAGTAAATCCCTGCTCGTTCCGTCCCCCGGAGAAGAAAGGGGGACAAAAGGGAAAAGATTCATCACTTTTTGGAATTTGCATCAAAATGAAAGTGGCACCATATTTCTGCACCCCAAAAAAGGGGGAAAAAGACAGAGGGAAATGGAGAAAAGGGAGAATGACAAGAACAAGGAACATAATCAAAATGGGGAAAAGCGTGTTAAAGAAGAAGAGTGCAGGAAAAAGCAAAAAGACAGAGAGACCATTTGAGGGGACGGAGGGGAAGGATTAGCTACAGCGACCCTCAGCTATATCAAAAAAATGTGTTGCTCATTGTTCTCCCCTGCCTCTCTTTCTCTCTCTGTCTTCCTCTCTCTCTCCCTCTCTCTCCCCCTTCCTGGCCGTTCAACTCACTGAAGCGTTACCGTGAGGGGGGAGGAGAGGGGATCGAGGGATGGAAGGAGGGAGGGAGGGTTGTTTTATCCTCTCCTCTCTGTCTCTCTGGTGCCAGCAGAACAAAAACACCAACTCCACCACTCTGTGTGTGTGTGTGTGTGTGTGTGTGTGTGTGTGTGTGTGTGTGTGTGTATTAGCTCATCGTTTGTGCGGATATCAATAACCATGCTCGTTTATTCACCAATGATTCAGCTGTGAATAATTTAAATAGTTTTCAATTTGGAAATAGATTGTTTTTTCCTTTAGCTGTGTTTATACTCCAGCTGTGAATAGTCAAATTGTGCAACTCACACACAGAAAAAGAGAGACAAGCAAACGCACATTTAAAGGAACACACATCTTCACGGAAGGGATAACTCTACGGTACAGCGGTGGAGAGAGAGAGATAGGGAGAAAGAGAAAAAGGGGGAGAGCAGGTTTAAGACTGACTGACAGCTTGCATCCACACACAGCATCCCCCCTTTTTCTGCGAGCTGCAGCGCATTTGCTGCCCCCCCCCCTGCCCCCATGCCCCTTCTGCATGCAAATACATTCATGAAATAGCCATGGTGGATACGAAACGCCTGAATCTGTGCATGTGTGTTTGTGTTTGTATTTGTGTGTGTATGTGTGTGTGTTTGGTATCACAGCCACCCTCTTCCTACCTCTGTGTCACAATTTGAAATTGCCAAAGACACAACAAACAACAGTCAGCCATCATCAATATTTTTGGAATCACATCGATCACTGTTATCAACAGTTTGTTCTGATGACGTCGGGCATCATTACAAACAACTTGTAGTGAGGGTTTTATTTTTACTAAAATTAAATCACTGACAACGATAACAAGGTTGCATGCAGTGAGTCCAGAAAACCCTCGTCATCCATTGTATGGTTTCAATTTTTGGTAATATGATTAACTATTGACTTTAACATTATGATTACTATACTTGTCTTCTCTTTATCTGTACCCTGTGTACCAGATGTAAACAGTTTTTACTCTTTCGCCCTGGTGAGAACTATATGGGTTTACCAATGAGCGGAGTGCCTGGAGAAAGTCTTCTTTTCTATAGTAGCAAAGCAGCAGCATAAACAGTTGCCTACAAATGCAATCTTAGAGAGGAACCGATATGAAAAAGACAATCAAGCTAAAGAGTTCAAATAGAGCTAACAGCAGAGACAAATACCAATGGAGTCCAATACCATTGGGTTTACAATAATCCTTAATGTGGCCAGCTATCAGTCAAAGTATCAAGTACAGGCTATAAATATACAATATAGCAATCAAGTGTTCAGAGTTAATAGATATCGCAATTGTAAAAAAAAAAGTTCTGTCTTTTCTCCATCACATTTAGAATTAATATTACAAATTATTGAAGGTTTACGTTTCTTTTAAGAATATCTCAATACATTAACACATTATTGGCCACTTTAGTTCATTCTCCTGTCCACACTGAAACCTTGTGAATATAAGAGGTGGGTGACACAATCCACATTCCTTGTTCTCAGCAAAAAAAACACTGTGACATTTAATTATAGCTAATAGAAATACACAGCAGTTTCAGAGTTAAACAAATCTAGCAAATATCTTTCAAAGTGTTCGTCTTTTGAGAGCAAATTCTCTTTATGTTTCGGAAGAAATATGACTCCAGTTGAAGGATAAACTGTCAACAACAGGGGAATTTCTCACTGCAAATACTCTGACTTTGGAAGATAATCACTTGATTTTTTAAATCAGAGTCATATTAGTCATAGGCATATTTGCACAGGACAAGCTCTGTGTATTTTGCATACCATCAATCAGCTCACTTCTCTTTGTCAGTAAGGACAGTGAGAATGTGGACCAACCTATCCATCAAGAAATAAAACACCACGAGCCTGAAGGTTCATCTTTTTCAAGATCAGGTGCAAATAGAGGAGGAGGGTGAGGGGGACAGGCCAGAGATACGTGAAGTGTTTTAAAATCATTTTGAATTCAAGCCAGAAGGAAGCCCTGACAGCAGTGGGAAGGTCGTTCTTTTACTCAGAAGGAATATAGGGAAGAGTTGAGACTGGGTGCAACAAACTCCACACCACGAGGAGTAAAGTGACAAGATTGCACTAAATCTAAATCTGAGGAAGAAATGCAAAAGATGTGCTCCTGTTAGACTGATTTTAGCAAAAAAACGCTGTTGTTAACCAACTGTATGCTGTCCAAGCAATATCTTCTTAGGAGTATTATCAAGTTATACTAATACAACTTGTATAATTGTAAGAGAAAGTTGTGTTCAAAAGATCCAGAAATTTTTTCTTAGTAAACAGTATACATGGTTAAAACATAGAGAGAACATATTTATACATTGTTTTCATCAAATGTGCAGTCTCATTTGTGATAAAGAGTATAAAAAGACATTCTGTTGCACCATGGCATATTGGTTAAAATTGTGATATTGCCTTTTTTATTATAAAATCAACTCAATCAACTAGCAGTAAAAGATTCAGAATTTATAAATGTTAACCTTCTAACAGCTTATTTCCTACACTTCTAAAGAAACAACAACCTTCTTGTATTGTCCATCATGACCAACGCGAGCATCTTCTGCGCTTTGATTGGCAGGTACTATGAAACGGGCAGCATCCGCCCCGGGGTAATCGGGGGATCCAAACCAAAGGTTGCTACTCCCAAAGTGGTCGACAAGATCGCCGATTACAAACGCCAAAACCCCACCATGTTTGCCTGGGAGATCCGGGACAGGCTGCTGGCCGAGAGAGTGTGTGACAACGACAGCGTCCCGAGTGTCAGCTCCATCAACAGGTACTACTGTCTGAGTACATGTGTGTGTGTTTTTGAGGATCAACTCACAGCAACAGGTACTGAAAGAAGGTAGAGCTCAGAGCAAATATAATACAGTGTTTTATGCGTGTGTGTGTGTGTGTGTGTGTGTGTGTGTGTGTGTGTGTGTGTGTGTGTGTGTGTGTGTGTGTGTGTGTGTGTGTGTGTGTGTGTGTCTGTGTGTGTGTCCGGGAGAGGAAAAGAGAATGGCAAAGAGGCCCCGGTCTCCATATGTATGAAGTGGCTGCAGCTCAGTGGTTCAACACGATGGTACAATGACAACCCTTTCCCCTGAGCATAGAGCCAGAGAGAGAGGCAGGGATAGTGAAATAAGAGAGAGAAGGAGTGAGCAAAAGAGGCAGACAAAAGGAAAGGAAGGTGTGCGAGAGAAAGGAGAGCAACAGATACAAAAGGGAAGGAAAGAAAGGAAAAGGAAAGGAAATGAGACAACATGAGAGGAGAGGAAAAGGGGAGGAAAGGAAAAGAAAGGGAAGGAAAGAGGAAGAAAAGACTTGCATGAGCAGCCAAGCAGGAAGTGTGAGGCCCCTCTGCCATGTCAGCCTGCCACCACACACACACACAAACACACACACACACACACACACACACACACACACACACACACACACACACACACACACACACAGTTTAGCTCCCACGATGGTCATGTTCTCTCTGTCACTCAGAATCCTCTCACACGCACACACACACACACACACACACACACACACACACACACACACACACACACACACACTAATATCTCCTCTCTCCTCCTGCAGGATCATTCGGACAAAGGTTCAGCAGCCGCCCGGCCAAACGGGCTCAATGTCGGCTCACAACTTAGGTAGGTCTGATGCTTTAAGAAATCCTGTTTCAAACTGTCAAAGCAAATTTTACAGCACGACCGTTTTTGTATGATTCCCTCAGGAGCTGGTGTGCCGTATGTGGAACAAAGCAACGTATTGAGATTCTGAACCCTAACTCACGGTGTGAAATGTGTGCCACAAATGTCTTTGCTTGAATGTTTCGATCAAGATGTCCCAAAATGAACAGTCTGAAAGGGAAGCTAGTTAATTTACAAGTGGTTAATGTATTGCTTATTACTGTAAACATTATTTAATTTATGTGATGGTTTGGGTTAACCATTTCATACATTTGTTATCTTGTTGTTGTTGAGTATAAAGTTAAGAGTTGAACAGTTGAGTAGAAAAAAGTAGAATCAGTAACAGAGGATCATACAAAAGAGGCGTCCAGCTTATTGCACATAAAACAATCATCATAATCATTGATAAGTCTCCTAATGGATATCATGATTCTGAAATGCCTATAAAGCAAAATGTTTAAATTACAGCAGTGCTGGATTTATAAATCTGACTTGAAGTAACTACCCTGAGGTCCACTCAGAGGCTATGTTGGATTTGATCAATTGCACATTTGCTTTGGAATATGTGCCTCTGAATCACATAATAATGTAAAAATGATAAAAGCTGTAAGGCAGATATTGGATTATGACTGATCTCGTTTACTGTAACTGTTTTCTTACTATTCCTAAATGAGTTTGTGTTCAACCGAATGATCACAAACATGGTTTCACAGCTAAATGCCGGTTCGTGGGATAATTCCATCGTAAAGTAGATCGCGAGGACATTAAAGTGTATAGGTAAAAAAAAAAATGTTTCTGTCACTAAAGTGGGAATTTAATATTCTTGATCAAAAGACCCTTGAATCTCCTCCTTAAACATGGTTTGGATGCTCATTGCAGTATATCTATTACAGCTATGACTGAAACATTTCCTTTTCCTCGATGAATGTCTTAGAACAAATACATCTGAAAGCTTCTCTCCCTCTCCTCCTCTCTTTGCCCTGCAGTGGATTGTGTTTCGGTGTATCTCATATCTTCATAATCACACATTGTCTATTAATCTAAATTAATTTCACACACACTGCTCCCTGACTCCTGCCTTTACACACATTTAGCAGGCACACATACATAAACACATGCATGCACACCAAGATGCAACCAGACACACACACACACACCCGCACGTACACACGCTTACAGATTACACAGATAAATGGGTCCCACTCCCAGGCGGAAAATTGAACATTTGGATTTGCTGAATAAAAGCGTTACGTCTGATAAAAAAAAGAGTGAAAAGAAAGAGAAAGGAAAATCAGATAATTGAAGTGCTAAATCAAGTGATGGGAAAAGGAGGGATCTGCATTCATTATACTCTCCTTGTCGTTAGCGAAGGAGTAACAGCTGGAAGGGACCTTGATCCTCTGCTTTATCGTTTCTTTTTATTCCCCTTTCGGTCTCGTCTTTCTGTGTTTGGGGGTCTGCTGGGAGAGAGGATTAGGATGTCTGTCTCCACACCTTTCTGTCCCTCCTGGGATACCATACTGTCACTCAACCCCATGTCCGCTTACAGGGGCACAGATAAGGGACCGAGGAATGAGTGACTGTATGTGTTGGTGTGTGCGTGTTTGTGTGTGTGTCAGGAGGTTGCACAATGTGTGTGTTTGTCACTGAAGCGGTGACAAGTATGTCGCTGTGTGCGAGGAACTTGTCTGCTCCAGGGGAACGATTAGAGGTAGAGACAACGAAGGGCAAAACGCAGACAGACTCCGGTCCTTTGTGGATTTGTTTGGATCTGTATGGCTGAGTAAAAGTTTTAGAGGATTAAAGTGCCTCTATGTTGAGTTTAAGTAGAGAAAAATAGGATTTCACTCATAGTTTTTTGTTCTGTATCTTCGATTGTGAATGTGTCACAAATAACTGAATGAAGACATGTGAGTGTTGCTCTTTAAGTAAAAAAACAAACAATACAAAACAGCTGGGATAGAGGTAGCAAATAGATATCGTATGTAGTTGCAAAGGTATCAACAATACATATGCAGAAATATCAACAGTTTTTGCGTGGGTCAGCAATTCAATATTTCATTTCTCTGTTAACTTTTAATAGTTCTTCCCCCTCGAGTGTTAGGTGGCATCGTGTTATCATAAACAGTGCCATTTGAATGATGATCTAAGATTTTGTCCTTATGATGCTCATCATAAACATAACTTTTAATGCTTCAAAAATAAACATTAAAAGTTATATTTTTCATTTGCCAATGAATTTACTCTAAGTTTCTGTCTGCAGCAACTTCTGTAGCGGCCACACAAGTGTCGGGAGTGACCAACGACTCAGCCGGCTCCTCATACTCCATCAGTGGCATTCTGGGAATCAGCTCAGCTGCCGATGTGGGCAAGAGAAAGAGAGACGAAGGTGAGCAAAATAATATGTGTGTGTGCTTGACTGTATTTATTTTAACCCCATCTCTTGCGTTTTTATACATTTTGATAGAAATCACTTTTACAAGTGGACTTAAATATACACAACATTCATAACTGCGTCGGCCAGCCTCACAACCCCCTCCCTTCTCTCCCACCATGGAGAGCCCAGATGGGAAGAACTCGGATCAATGACAGATGTGTGTAAGAGTGTGTGTGCAGATGCAATGTGGGAGTTCTAAACCAAACGTCTTCATTCAGAGAGCCCTATTTGTTTACTAACGGTGCTTCACTGGAGAGTTACCTGAGGAGTCAGTTTATGCATGCACTATCGATCATATATGCTGTCATACCGGATCAATGGTGTACGTATGTTAATGGGGGTTCTGAGCTTGTGTGTGTATATGGGGGTTCTCACATGTACAGTATGTATATGTTTATGTGTAAATGTGCATGTGTGTGTGTGTATGTGGCAGTGTCAGTGGCATTAAAAAGCAATCACACAGACAGCCTCCTTCGGTAAATGAGACAGGACCAGATGTCGGAGCGAAGGGGGGTGACAGAACGCCACTGGGGGCTATTTCTCGCTCTCTGTGTCTAACACACGGACGCACACACACTCATACAGTATGGGGTCCTTTTCCCACTGTTGATGAATTTCCCAAAACATTCCAGCAGGTTCCAGGATAAATCCCAGGTGCACCTTGAGCGTTTTGATATGCTCGGATACAGCCCACTTACCCATCAGCAGAGCACAAAGACTTTAGACCTGACATGCACTCAAACACACACACACACAAACACACACACACACACACACACACACACACACACACACACACACACACACACACACACACACACACACACACACACACACACACACACACACACATACACGAACACACACACACACCACACGACACCACCCACACCCCACCCACACCCACCCATCAAACTCATAGGCCGACCAGGTAACATAGGTACCTTACCCATTTCTTGCGTAACGGCACTTCCCCAATAGTTAGGATAGCAAGGTGAGACACCCATGGGCCACGCGTCCGTGTGTGTGGTGTGGTGTGTGTGTGTGGTGGTGTGTGTGGGTGTGGTGGGTGTGTGGTGTGTGTGTGTGTGTGTCGTGTGTTGTGTGTGTTGTGTGTTGTGTTGTGTGTTTTTTTGGTGTCGGGTGTTTTGGTCGAACGGAGATGGAGACACTCATGGTCAGAGTCTCCCTCGCGTAAGAGAGGAGAAAAGTCTCGTCTATTTTTTAGTTTTACTCGGAATAACAAGAGAAAAAGGAGAGAAGGAAGGGGAAGTGATAGATAGGGATACTGGAGAGAGAGAGAGGGGAGATAGCGACGTTGCAGAGGGAGACTGATCCCGTGGACATCACCGTAAATAAGCTGTTTGTGTGTCTTGTCAACTTAATAATTTAGGTTTATGGAACTTTAATCTAACAGTCCAACAGACAAACGCACAAAGTCACGTACAAAACACACGTCTCTCACACACCACACACACACACACACACCACCACACACCACACACACACACACAACACACAACACACACTACACACACACACACACACACACACACACACACACCACACACACACACACACACACACACACCACACAACACACACAAACACAAACAAACCAAACACAAACAAACACACACCACTGTTTGAGGTCTCTTAGTTTTCAAAACCCCCCGGGCCCTTTCCCCGTGACTCTCTTGGACATTCATCTGCCCGCCTCGAGGGAGAAGGGAGAGGAGTGTAAGTAGGTAGAAAACGAGTCGGCGGTCGTAGAAAATAGACGATTCCGACGACGCTGGAGCAGTGTCACCTACGTGTTGCCCCCACTCCTCCAGTAGAAACCCCGTAAGACCCATTATTAGAAAGAACAAGTAGCCGTTTGTTGTGATAAAATATATGTACGTGTGAACACTACATACTAAAGTTATTTTGACTTTTATGAAAAATAAGTCCACTAAGGAAAGATGTACGTGTGGACATGCGCATAAAAACTTGTACTCGCACGTACATGTGTGGTGTTGGTGTGGTGTGTGTGTCGTGTCGTGTGTGTGTGTGGTGTGTGTGTGTGTCTGTCGTGTGTGTGTGTGTGTGTGTGTGTGTGTGTCGTGTGTGTTGGTGTTGTGTCCTTGTGTTGTGGTGTGTGGTGGTTTGTTGTGTGTGTGTGTGTGTGTCGTGTGTGTGTGGTGTGTGTGTGTGTCTTCTCGTCTCTCCGATACATTCCGTCTTATCCAAATTCTATGTTATGCAGCGGGAAAACCGGGGTGTTCAGTTCAAGAAGGTATAACGTGCGCCAGGGTAAAGTAGATGTAAAACGGGGTCGGAGCGGGGTGAAGGGAGCGAACGAAACCGTCCAGTCGTTCCCGGTAAATGGGAGTGTGTGAGAGGACCGGCTGTGTGTGTGTATTGTAGCTAGGGGCGATAGGTCACAAGGGTAGTCAAACCGTGTCGACGGTTTGAAGATACGACATGTCCAATGTCCGTTGTGTATTTTCCAAAGGACCGTTTTGCCAAGTATTATACTATAGCTAATCTCCACTATTACTAGAAATAATTAGTTCATGTATGTATAGTGGTTTTTGCGATGGGACTAGAAAAAACCGTCCGTCTCGTAAACTGAAATAACTAGAAAGACTATCCCAAAAAACCGTCGTTTTTGTAACAAAAAGAATATAAATGAGTCCGGATTATTTGTGGAGAATAATGACGTATTAACATTGTATAAGTGGGCATGATCTCTTTCTATTGTCATATGCTAGTTTTCAGTTGTCTGTATCGACACACTAACACCAGAACAAATAACATTAAAAGCGAAGACACTTGTTTACAAAACATCGCTGTCGTTATACCCTCTACACACACTCTTCCGAACGTAATAACACACAAACACAGACATAAACACACAGTAAGTTCAAGTACGACAAGCGGGGGACAGCGGGCACGACACACACACACAGTAATAGTCCCCCCCGACGAGATTACCTTCGGCACTAATCCGTTACGACAATTAATCTGTGTCTACGGTTGGCGAGTCTGGAGACGGTGCTCCTGTGCGTCTATTTTGTGTTCGGTTGCACTGCCGCTTCGGGTGTGTTTACGGAATCACCTGCGAAGTCACTTGCACTATCCGTTATGAAAGTTATACTTACCTTTGTGTTTTGCAGGTCAGCATATTTTTTTGTCTGTTGTACGATCCTTGTACCATCGTCCGCAATACACTCTGTTCACTTGTTATTACGACGGATTACTCTATTGTCTCGAAGCTGAAGTGACTATAAGCTTCGTCGTCACATACACGATGTCTGTCGCTAGTTGTGTATCCATTGCAACCATGTAAACACATTAATTAATATGACTGGATAATAATAGCAGTTACGTTATACCGAATATTCTTACTTCATCTAGGGATTATATAGTAGAACTTAATAATATCGAAAAAAGTTTCTACATACGATTTATTATTGCAATCATACCGCAAGCAAGGGTCATTTCTGTAAAGTTATTTTAAGACTCTGTCCTGCATTTGTTATATTCGAGTGAGAAACACGAAAAGTAAGATGATTTTTCAGTTGTAAACACTTTCTTTTAACATCTGGTCTTAACCTCGTAATACTTTATAATATGACTACGAGCACCCGGTGATATCAGTTCCAAGGAAGGAATAAAAACGCATTAAAGATTGACTTATAGGACTTAAAGAAATTTTGAACTACCCGTGATAAGATGTTTGCCCGATCGATATTTTGGTAAAATCCGCTTGTCGTATTGTAAATAAAGTTTCATTGCTTCGTGGTCAGTTTACACCCCTTATACCCGTAAATACAAATATAGTATCATAGTAAATTACTTCAAAATATTACAAGTTACTTAGATCGTTTCCGACTACCAAAAGAGCGACGTAATCAACAATATAGTGAAAAACGCTGATAAAATCAAAAACTACTATTAGACCTAAAGGAGAAAAAAATATCGAAGTATATGGTCTTAAAGAAACCCCTAGCGTTTTGTTCGGAATTGCAATAGGTGGTTCACAGGGGTTTGTAGATCACTCAAACACTAGAGATAAGGATATCGAACCACACATACCACACACCACACACACANCTAGCGACTGTAACTCCACAGTTGCCTACACTCTTTTCGGGTTTGCTAACGGTAGCTACTTTAGCTTGATAGCTAGCCATGGCTCTTTCCCCACCCTCGGGTGCTATTTCCTGCTCTAGCTGTCTCACCGAGGGTGGGGAAAGAGCCATGGCTAGCTATCAAGCTAAAGTAGCTACCGTTAGCAAACCCGAAAAGAGTGTAGGCAACTGTGGAGTTACAGTCGCTAGGAGAAGGAGAGTTGTGAGTGCTTAAGCTGTAGTAACGTGTGATTACAACGTCAGGCAGTTGCCGTGATCAAGAGTTTTAAAACGATCGATTAAGTTAAGATAATAAGCTATCAGCAACAGAACAGGCACACGGGATACCCGGAGATGACAACAACAACCGGAAGTTACAACATGCTTACCGCAATAGTGGTCCGTGTTTTGAGTTCACTGTTTTGATAAGAAAGCCAGATGTTTTCTGCGGTTTAGTTTGACGGTGTGTTTCCTCCCTCAGGCTGCCCTCCAGGCTGGTCGTGGAGCAAGCACCTGGTGTGGGTCGAGTATGCTCACAACACACTGCCCACCGCCGCTACTAGACTTACTCCTTTCCAGTGTGTTTACGGTTAACAGCCACCCTTGTTCCCTGCCAATGAAGGTGAGGTCACGGTCCCGTCGGCACACGCCATGGTCCGTCGGTGCCGCCGGATCTGAGCAGGTGCTCGTCGTGCTCTCCTGCGCAGTGCCAGCCAGATGAAGAAGGTGGCGGATCGGCATCGCAGACCTGCTCCATCCTATAGGCCTGGACAAAGCATTTGGCTGACTACCAAAGACTTACCCCTTCATGTCATGTCCAGAAAGCCGCCCCAAGGTTTGTGGGCCCTTTCCAGGTTTCTAAGGTGATTAACCCGTGTCTGTGCGGCTTACGTCTACCCAGGGTCGCTCAAGGTCAATCCAACGTTTTCATGTGGGCAGGTCAAGCCTGTAAGAGAGTCCTCTGGTGCCCGCCTCTAAGCCCCACGCCTCCCCGATGGTGATGGTGGTCCTGTCTACAGTTTTAGGAACTGCTTGGAGTCGTAACTGTGGTCCGAGGGAAAACCAATTCTGCGTGTGATTGGGAGTTGTTTGGGTCCGAAGAAGACAATGGGTTCCTGCAAGTTTCATTTGTAAGATGGCGTTGATTTCACTGATTCTATCAGGATATCCAGGAGTGTCTGGACTTCCGGAGGCAGTCCCTAGAGGGGAGTACGATGGTATCTCGTCATTTTGTTGTTGTTTTGTTCATGTCTGTAATTCATGTTTAGTCAGGGTACTTATGTCATTCCAGTTAGTCAGGGTTTCTATGTAGAGCCATGGTTTTCATGTTTACTTCACGTCTTGTCTGTCTCTTTTAGTCTGTCATCTCTAGTCAATCCCCCCACTGTTTCATGTCATTGTCTCGTCTCCCTTGTCTGTGCCAGTTTGTCTTGTTTCAGTGTGACTTTTCATAATGTCCAGGAGACCCGCGGGAATACCGAGCGGAGAGTCCAGAGAGGAGAGTTTTGTTCGTTTGATATCAAGGAGTTTTGTTTGTCCTTGCCAAGGTGTTTTTTGTTATACTTGTTTATATTTTCTCATAAAAATATGAGTCGTTCCAGTTGAGTCCATATTTTGTTTATCTCCTACTAACTTATTCCATAGATGTGGGACGTGAATATGTTATGCTAATGTTTTTATTATTGATTACTATGCAAATAATCTCATGAATATTAAACACAACACCCATCTGAACATTATATTCGCCTCTCTCAATTCAATCTGGAACCTCTCTCATACATTTATACGATATGTGTGTGTGTCTGTGCTGTGTGTGTCTGTGTGCATCTCAAGGGCTATTGCGAATCGGAGCTGTCTGACGCTGGAATCATTTTGAGCATATCTTATTCTGGTGATCTGAGTGTGCTGAGCTTTCGTACAATTACAATGTCCCCTGTCTGGCACCAATGCATAAAGTCAACAGTGCTCTGGCCAGTTTGTCGGCGTAAATGTTCTTTTCTGTTTTCATTTCAACAGTCCTTATATCCGTTAGCGCAGCTAGCTAGCACCAGTATGTAACAACAACCACATACCCGCAAGGTCTCTCTTCGTTCGCCCACACATACACATCACTCCTCCTCTCGGTTTTTGTTGTCGGTGGCCTGCGTATTGTGAGCGTGGAGTGTGGCTGCCACATGCGTGATGCTGCAGAGCGGGGCTGTAGCATCAGCTTGATAGATGGTATTTAAAACTCCGATGCGCTCTTGCCAACTACGGAGCGACCGAAGGAATCAAAAAATACAATGCGTTAATCGCGTTAAAGATAATTAGTGGCTGGTTATAACGCGTTATCTTTGACAGCCCTGAGTAAATATCATAATCCCTGTATATTATCCATTCCTTCCCTTATAGGTGTTTCGGCATCTTGCTATCGCAGCTTTGTAATTGGATGCTGTGCTTTTTAGGGAAGAGCACAGAGTCGTCATCCGTCATGTGTGTCCGCCGGATACGCCAGGAGTTTCCTGATTGGGCTGGCACGAAATCAAATGCAAATCACAAATGATTATAGAAAATTAGTTGTTTTACGGTTCGTTAGCTTGCGCTAGGATGAATATGCTACTACGTTTGCTAG